TGATACCTAAAATGTCTGAACAAAAAAAATCAACTGGAAATGTTTTTACAGAGAACAGTTACTCTTACTTTCATAACCTTCATAACCTTCCCTGCCATTACAAACTTTCTTCACATCAACTGTATCAGAAGTGGCAACAGTTCATTCAGTAACACCTGGTACCAAATTTTCAATCCTTACTGTGGCTACTGAATTGTTTAGAATAATGTTATCTATTGTATTGTCTGAAATATTGACATCTGAAGTTGTGCAAATATCAATACTGAAAGTTGAATTGCCACCTGAAACTTGAACCAGAGAGAATATTAAAAAAAGTTAGAATTAAATTATTATCAAATTATTAAAATTTATCTTTATCAACCAACCGATTTATTTAGAAAATAAAGAATTATGTATACAGGTCAAAAAACTAGAAAGAGAAAATACTAAATTTGTAAAACAATTAGACCTAATGAAATATATTAACAACAAGTTTTTTGAAGAATCAGAATTGCAAAAAAATGAAATAGAAGATTTAAAAAAGGAAATTAATCAACTAAATCTGTGGAACCTAAACTTGATCCTATAGTTGTTGTAGAATCCAAAATAGTCAATATATCAGAATCTGAAAGTTTATCAAATTTAGATAATCACCAAAGAATTTAACCTAAAAGAAGTAGTAAAGAAACAAAATCAGTAAAACTGGTTATCAAAGATGAGCTGAAATTAAAAGAAATGAAAACAGAAATAAAGACCTTAATGAAAACCATTTCTGATGAATATAAACTGAAGATAGATGAAGTTTTTTTGAGTAATATGAATAAAAAAATATTATAAAAATTAATACTTGAATTAACAAAATCCATAGCCACATATTCTATTCCTTATGAAAGCAAATAAACAAATGGTTAGATGCTTTATATCACTATCAGAGAGAAAAATAACAAAAGGCAGAAACTAAAAAACTGGAAGTGGACAATCATTACTTATATGCAAATAACTAGTTAAACAAAGTAAGATTAATAATATTTTGCATTTATATTATCTTAAAGTATTAATTTTTAACAAATAATTAAGAAAAGGATACAAAAAATTAAAGATGTACAGTCACTTGTTGAATAAATATCAAAGAAAGTTATCAAATATCAGGATGAATTAAATGATGTAATTAAAGAAATAAAGGTATATTTACTTGAAGAAAGTGAGACTGATTTGAGAAACCCTACTAAAAGAAAAATAAATGTATATAATTACAGTTGATACTCTGAAGAGGTATTTTTTAACAAAATATTTTATACCAAATAATTATAATATTAATTATAATTACTTATAGTTAAAGAATTTGTTAAAATATTTGAATAAATATTTAAAATCAATTCAAGTATTCCAGCTGACTCATAAATAATATCGTAACAATTCATATTTCTATGACGTAACTTTACCAGAAGGCTTGTCAAATTGGATATACAGTTTGAAAGAAATTTTGAAATGTTAACAAAAAAAAAAAACAAGAAAAAGTACAAAATTGATAGATAAATTAAAAAGACAAAAAATTACTGAATATGAGGAATCATTAATATATTTAGAGAATAAGAAACAAATTGGAAAAAGTGTATGAATAGGTGAAATTCAGGACAGTTAGGTTAGAAAAAAAAATGAAAAATCTTGAAAAACATTTGGTAAGATAAAACCAATTGAAACTAGTTTTAAAAAAGTCAAGCTGAGATCTTTAAATAGAAAAAAAAGCAAGTGGAAAAGAAGAAAGAGAAGTAAGAGGAAAAAGACAAATAATTTAGTCAATTGATTTTATAATTTTTTAATAAATTTCGTGAAATGTGAATTTTTTGCCACAATAATTTTTTTATAAATTTTTTCCACAGTAATTTTTTTTATCGAATTTTTTCCCACAGTAATTTTTTTATTGAATTTTTTGTCACAGTAACAATTTTTTTGTTAAATTTTTTGCCACAGTATCAATTTTTTTGTTGAATTTTTGGCTGCAGTATCAATTTTTTTATCAAATTTTTGACTGCATATGTAAAAAATTTTTTTGTCATAGTATATAAAATTTTTTTTATCACAATATTGTTAGATTTTGGTTTGAATTTTTTTTTGTAGTATGTTGATATTTTTAATACTGAGTAGTAGCAATTATAAATAATTCATCAATCTTTTTATCATCAATTTTTGCCATTCAGCAATAATTTGATAGCTGAATAACACAATTTTGACTAGTGGATATTATAAAATAAAAAAATAAAAGTGGTTTTTAAATATTATTATAAATTATTATAAAAAAAAACAAAGTGAAATAGAAGAAAAAATATATATATAGTAATAAATAATAAAAAATAAATTAAAAATTTGATAAATAAATAGTTTAAATAATGTAACAGATTTTTAAGTCTAATTAAAACATAATAAGTTTTAAACTAGAATTAATAAAAACAATTTTATTAACTGAGGAATATGCATCCCGTGCAAATGGGACTCAACAATCAGAATCAATACAAAACAAGTGGAAACACACATAGCTAAGGAAGGGACAAGGAACAGAAATAGAAACTCAGAACCTAACAGACTGAAAAGACATTATAAGGGGGGTAATCACATATCGGATAGTAGAAAAGGTCACAGAGATTACCCAAAATCTAACTGAAGCAAAGAACATCATAAGAAAAGCAACAAATAAATTTTGGCAGGAAAAAATGAAGGTCTGGAGGCTACGCTGTGACATAGTCTCCACCTGGGAAAGAGAGAACAAAATCACAAGGAAAATAAAATGCAATAAATCAGTGAGAGGTCACAACATATACACCTCACCCTCAATCATAGAGAAACATCTTTTATAAACTTTTAAACTCTTGTACATTCAACTAACCAACTCAAGTATGACTAACATTATAAACAATAGTTTCTCCCTATACACTCTGTTCATACTTAAAATCAGTGTTAGTGGAGTCATGACACATTAACATCTATAAATATGGACTGCAGTAAGTCACAGGGTTGACAGCTTAGCTGTTATACTAAGCCAATAGTCTTTTCACCTTCATGAATGTATTTTTCATCACAATTAAATTTGTGTTAAGGGAATATTAATGAGTAAATAAAGGTTAAATGACATGACTTTGCCAGCACTTAAAAAAAAAAAATAATAAATAAAAACAATTTTATTATAAAAGCAATAAAGCTAAATTATCAAGAAAAGAAAATTAAAATTTAGATAAAAAATAAATATTAAATTATAAAAAAAAGATTTAAAGTATAAAATATAAAATATAAAAAATTATAGAATAAAAATAAACTTAAGAAATTTATAAAATTAAAAGATTCTTAAAATTATTTTATCTAAAAAAAACTTAATATAATTAGGAATAAATAGAAGATAAAAGAAGAAATAATAAAAGAAATAGATTTTATAACAATTATAATAAATGAAATTAAGTATAAAATGAAATAATTGAATTTTGATTTGTTAAAACTCAAAAAAATAATTTGTAGTAATAATTTTCAAACAATGATATCAGCAATTAGAAAGATTTGAATCTGAACTATTAATAGAGTAACAAATTACTTTTGAAATTATATTTGGAATTATTCAAACAAAGATAAGTGAATTGTTAAAAAAATTAACTTTAATAAAATATAAATTTATACAGTATATATTTTACAAATATTTAATAAAGATATATAACTAGTTTGATAAAAAGTAAAAATAAATAAATACTGTAAATATTGATTTTTGACTTAAATAAATTTATAATGATAAGTAAAAATTTTTTAGTTATTTAACAATTTAATAAATTTTAATAAATAATAGTAATAATTATAAATTTAATTCATGTAGATTTCTATTCGATTTTTTTTATTATTAGTCCGATGCAAAGCGAAGGATCATAAATTCTAGACGTGTTAATAAAGACATATCCTTTTATCCCAAGTCAATAATGTAAAACAACGGCTCCCGTTTTCCTAGTCCATAAATATCCAAACTTGAACTTCTCTATAAAAGAAAATAACTTACAGTAAAATAAAAACCCTTAATTATACTTTTCAATTTACTCTCAAATCGACCTATGAGAATTGTTTGACTCAAGTTACGAAATTGATAGTTAAAAACCAATGATATGTTCTTTTCTAAAAACTTTCCCGCGACTATGAATTAATAAATACTTCAAATGGACCAGTCCCAAGGGAAAACAAAATTATCAATTTATACATGATACAACAAAATGTTGGACAACCCTTCTCCGAACACGTTTTTTTTCAAGATGCATTAGATAGTGCAGATGATGTAACCACGCATCAAAAGAGATTGTAATTGGAAATGAGAACGAAAACACCACATATTGAGATGATATTCCTCGACTTTGTTTTCTTTAGTTAGCTAACCGCTTTATACCGAAATAGCGAGGCCACTTAGTAAGAAGGTGATTACACAATCATGATGGAAGGGAATGGTCAAAAATGGAAATTTTTTTTTGTAATGTTGCATTTACACTAGACTTATCAGAATGCGGCATTTGTGATTACAATCACTTATTGTGATTCGCGGGTTATCAGGAATAGTAATTTTTTACTCGGAAAATTAAAATGTGTTGTCAGGCATTGGGTGAAAAGCTTAATAACATTACAAAGAAAGTGTTTGAACGACAAACAGTAAGGCTTTTTAATATAATGTGTATTTACTTTCATTTTAGTTCCGAATCGATTGTCAAAATAACATTATGATAATAAAAGCCGACGAATGGATAAAAATCCTTTTATGACCTAGCTTTATCAGAGATTAAATGCATAATGATTGCGTATTAAATTCATCATTCTTTTTTTTTTGTTTTTGTTTGTTTGTTTTTTTTTTTTTACATTACCGACCTACTACTAGTTGTCAACGCAAAGTATAAAAAATGTTACCATCCAACAAAAAATGTCAGTATCTTTTTTTTTCATTATCATAGTAAAAAAAGCTTTCAAACGCGATATTTATAACATAGTTTTAGAATCCATCTGCCTTGAAAAAAATGCCACACGCTTCACTAACTCAATCAACGACTTCATCTTCGACACTACTTGAACATGTGTACATCAAACAAGGTCCGAAACCTCTGGCAAAGATCGCCGAAATGATCCATTTATCTTCGAGTCTAAAGATCAACCTCGTAGAACCAGTACTTTTCATGCGCGGTAACCCGCAAGAATCCTTGGGTTGTTTCTTGAGAGGAGAATTGTGCTTTAACTTGTCGAAGCCAACAAAAATCAAGAAAATCGAAATGAAGTTTATTGGTAAACTGAAAACTTTTTGGCCCGAAGGAAAAATTTCTCATGGTACCGTACAGATGATATTATCTCTTTATTTACGAGTCAAAAATTCATTATTAATCCCCTTTACTTGTTCCAAACATAATAGATGTAAATTCAAATCGCAATAACCTATGCGAGAAACGCGAAATAATAACTCACAATTGGACTTTTCTTGCACCTATCTTATCTGGTTGTCACATACTACCTACCGGCACTTGCCACTATCCATTTGAACTTTTCCTACCCGGTGATATTCCCGAAACGATAGAAGCCAGTCGAGGGTCTGTCACCTATAAACTAGTAGCCAGTGTTATTCGTCAAGGATTCTCGCCGAATATAAATACCACTCAATATATACCTATCGTAAGAACCCCATTGAACGAACAAAATCCCGAAGGAATATCAGTGTCCAGTATTAAAGGAAGTTTAAACTATGAGATTAGCATACCAAAGCGAGCATATGCATTAGGTGACGCGATGGAGATTGATTTGAAATTGCGACCAACAACAAGAAATATACGTGTTGTCGGAGCGAAAATTCAGTTAACTGAGGATGCCACGTACAAAGCTGGCACACAGAAATATCAAGAAGTTAAATCACTGAATTCGTTGCAAGTTAAAGGTCATGAGGGACAACGATCACCCTTCGAATGGAGAGATGATGAATATTTCATCATCTCGGAACCAGATCCTTTCCAAATTTCCGAAGAGGAAGGTGACGGTGTCAATTATCACAAACACATCACTTTTCCAATTCCATTTCGGGTCGCTCCAAGTCAAATGGTTCATTAATCCATGAACCTTCGCTCATGTGATCTCCGTCAAAACTCCTGTTCTCAACATTGCCTTCCACATTTTCACCACGAAGGTGGTCACTATTATCCCCCAAACATCCATCCTCCTCATAAGTAGGCAATTCAT